GTAACTATGACAAAACTATAATAATTTATGATCTATGAAGGGTCCATGAGGGAGAGGGATGGGGGGGGTGATGAGCAACTGATATTAGGGGCTAGAGTGAGAGGCAAATGTTTTGAGAATGATGAGGGCAACAAAAGTGCATATGTGCTTGACACAATGGATGTATGTATGGATTGTGATGAGAATTGTATGCGCCCCCAATAAAATAATTTTTTAAAAAGTGAAGGCATCTTTTACACATTATCATACTTTTTTCCATTATTCTTTTCAAGTTATTTTTTTTAAAGTCCTTTTATTGGGGCCTCATACAACTCATCACAATCCATACATATATCAATTGTATAAAGCACATTTGTACATTTGCACATTTGTTACCCTCATTATTCTTTTTTTTAAAATTATTTTATTGAGGGCTCGTACAATTCTTATCACAGTCCATACATACATCCATTGAGTCAAGCACATATGTACACCTGTTGCCCTCATCAATCTCAAAACATTTGCCCTCTACTTCAGCCTTCAATATCGTTTGCTCATTTTCCCCCTCCCCCACCCCCTCCCTCCTGAACCCTTCCTAATTCATAAATTATTATAGCTTTGTCATAAGTTACACTGTCTGATGTCTCCCTCCACCCTCTTCTCTGCTGTCCATTCCCCAGGGAGGAGGCTATACTTAGATTCTTGTAATTGATTCCCCCCTTTTACCCCGCATTCCCTTCACCCTCCAGGTCTCGTCCCTCTCACCCCTGGTCCTGATGAAGTCATCTATCCTGGATTCCCTGTGTTTCAAGTTGCCATCTGTACCAATGTACATCCTCTGGTCTAGCCAGATTTGCAATGCAGAATTGGGATCATGATATTGGAGGGGAGGAATCATTAAACAACTAGAGGAAAGTTATATGTTTCATCGTTGCTACCCTGAACCCTGATTGGCTGGTCTCCTCCCCACAACCCCTCAGTAAGGGGGTGTTCAGTTGCCAACCGATGGACTCTGAGTCTCCACTCTGCACTTACCCACTTTTACAATGACAAGATTTCTTGTTCCTTGATGCCTGACACCCGATCCCTTCGACAGCTCGTGGTCACACATCCTGGTGTCTTCCATGTGGACTTTGTTGCTTCTGAGCTAGTTGGCCGCTTGTTTATCTACAAGCCTTTAAGTCCCCAGATGCTATATCTTTTGATAGCC